GGTATATATATAAATATATGTGCGGTTGAGTGTATGTACTGACATCTTATCTGCAGGCGAGATTATTTGGGACTTGATGGTTTTGGCACCTATGAGTATCCGAAATTCGGAAAACATAATGGAAGCAACTATCATACATGAAAAGTAATATTTAATATGACATGCTATTGCCGTCATCATATGTAAGCGCTCTTACCATAAAATGAATTATCAAACATTAGTATACACATGTATTCATATTGATGTAAGACATACACAAGTACAGTTACCTTGGCTATCAGGCGGTGGTTAGTGAGAACAGCGTACTCCTTCTTGTCGCTTGCAGCCTGCGTTTTCCTATTACGGGGCGTACAGAAATGCGCATAAAAACTTTAGTGAACTATTAGTTACTTCATTGCGATATAGGACCAGTCAGTGTCCCATAAGTGGCTAAATTAGTGCAACAGAAATTAGTTTGGAAGAATATGAATAGATTGAACAAGATTGAACATGACATGATAGAAAACTTCTCACACGAATACACATGTACAAATACGTTTTTGTATATATATTCGCAGATCTATACCGAATAAGTCCCAAACAAATACGCAAACCACATACCATTCCTCATGGGCATTCGCTGTCGCACACTGAAACAAGCGTGCATGCGCCAAGAGCCGTGTCTTGGTTCGCTCAACTAGGGGCCCGAACGCCCGCGATTATTAAGACGAACACACTCACAGTATCTTCAAAGTACACTCCCAATATAAAATATAACTGTGATTATGTCATCCTTCCTAGTACCGTAACCCGCAAGCCCTCCTGTCACAGTTCGTTTGTCCCGACTGACTATTGCACCTAACAATACACACCTAGCCCTATATATGACTCGCACACTACCTCGCATATAACCCTGTACAGACAAGCAAACAACCGTGAGATATACGCATACGCCCTCACCCACCATTGTTCCTGGGCCTTGGGTGAACTAGGCTCAAACAGACACACATGCGCCACACCCATCTCCTCCTCATTGGCCGTTTCTTCGCTCGCTCTACTATTTCTCATCAGTGCACTGATCATCTTAGCTTGAGCTGCATCCATACCTCCTCCCGTGTCCTTCTCGGGTTCGGGTACTACGGCTGTGGCACCAGTCTATAGTAGAGTGTAGGATAGAATACATGCGAATTGTGTTGAGCGAGCGAGCGCATTGACCATTTTGGCCTGGGATGTGTGCATACCACCCCCCATTGACATTCTTGGGCTCTGGTACCATGGCGGTTGCCCCAGTCCAATAATGGGGATCTGGCCACAGTGTGCCAATAATTTAGATGAGTGAGTGCCTCCGATTTAGGATGTTCGTAGCAACCCGTAATCATACTGTGTGCGAATGTTTAATAAAGAAAACTCATGCGATCTACCCGTATAATTCTTGGATTGACACGCATGCACGCACTCGCCTACAATGGATATAAGCACATGCAAGCACACGACTACAATGAATATAAACGTATGCAAGCGCTCGCCTACAATGGATAAAAGCACATGCAAGCACACGACTAAAATGAATATAAACGTATGCATGCACCCGCCTACAATGAATATAAACTGTGCAAGCACCCGCCTACAATGGACATAAGCGCATGCAAGCACACGACTACAATGAATATAAACGTATGCAAGCACTCGCCTACAATGGATATAAACGCATGCAAGCACTCGCCTACAATGAATATAAACGTAGGCAAGCACTCGCCTACAGTGAATATAAACGGATGCAAGCACTCGCCTACAATGGATATAAGCGCATGCAAGCACACGACTACAATGAATATAAACGAATGCAAGCACTCGCCTACAATGAATATAAACGTATGCAAGCACTTGCCTACAATGGATATAAGCGCATGCAAGCACACGACTAAAATGAATATATACGTATGCAAG